TTTTCTTTTTTTTTTTTTCTTTTTTTGGCATGGCCACCGGCGTGTAACACTCACGCGTCTTTTTTAAGGCAAAAAAGGGGGAAATTGGGGTTTAGGGAACAAATCCGGTGTCCAAATCCGCCGTGGGTGTGGGAAGTGGCTAAAAATATGTGCATATTTTGGGGGAAATTAGACCGGGTTTTGGTATCATCCGCCTTTTCCCCTCGGGTCTTGACGCCCGCGCCGAGACTTGCGGCAGACTGACGCCAGGGCGCCGCCTTCGTTAGGGGGTAATTATGCAAACGAGCTGGCTGCGGGGCTGGCGCCGGGGTTGAGCCGGAGAAGCGGTACTGGGTTCAGTTGAACTGGGTTCAATTAAACTGGATTCAGTTAAACTGAGTTCAATTAAACTGGATTCCGGTAAACTGGGTTGAGTTGAACTGGATTCAATTAAACTGGGTTCAGTTAAACTGGGTTCAGTTAAACTGGGTTGAGTTGAACTGGGTTGAGTTGAACTGGGTTCAATTAAACTGGATTCAGTTCAACTGGATTCAGTTAAACTGAGTTCAATTAAACTGGATTCCGTTAAACTGGGTTGAGTTGAACTGGATTCAATTAAACTGGATTCAGTTAAACTGGGTTGAGTTGAACTGGGTTCAGTTAAACTGGGTTCAGCTCATGTGGTTCAATTAAACTGGGTTCAGTTCACTGGATTCAATCAAACTGGGTTCAGTTCACATGGTTCAGTTAAACTGGGTTCAATTAAACTGGGTTGAATTCACCAGGTTCGGTTAAACTGGGTTCAGTGAATTGGGTTCAGTTGACCCGGGTTTGATTAAACCAGGTTCAGTTAAACCAGGTTTGATTTGGGTAAACTGGGTTCGATTAAACCAGTTTCAATTCATTTGGTTCAATTAAACTGGGTTCAGTTAAATTGGGTTCGATTAAACCGGGTTTAGTTCACCAAGTTCAATTAAACTGTGTTCAGTTAAACCGGATTCAGTGAAAATGGGTTCGATCAAACCGGCTTCAATTCGTTTGGTTCGATTAAATCAGGTTCAATTAATCAGATCCAATTAAACCAGGTTCAATTCATTTGGTTTGATTAAACTGGGTTCAGTTAAACTGGGTTTGATTAAACTGGGTTCAGCTCACCGGGTTCAATTAAACCGGATTCAGTGAAACCAGGTTCGATTGAACTGGGTTCAATTAAACCGGGTTAAATTAATTTGGTTCGATTGAACTGGGTTCGATTAAACCGGGTTAAATTAATTTGGTTCGATTAAACTGGGTTCGATTAAACCAGACTTGTTGAAACCGGGTTCAATTAAACCGCATTCAGTGAAACTGGGTTTGATTAAACCAGGTTCAATTAAACTGGATTCATTGAAACCGGGTTCAATTAAACCAGATTTGGTTAAACCGGGTTCAATGAAACAGGATTCGGTGAAACCAGGTTCACTTAATGGGGATCAGTTAAACCAGATTCAGTGAAACTGGGTTCGATTAAACCAGGTTCAATTAAACTGGGTTCAGTTAAACCAGATTCGTTGAAACCAGGTTCAGTTAAACCAGAATCAGTAAAACCAGGTTTAATTAAACTGGATTCATTGAAACCGCGTTCAATTAAACCAGAATCAGTGAAACCGGTTTCGATTAAACCAGGTGAAATTAAACCAGATTCAGTGAAACTGGGTTCAGTTAAACTGGGTTCAATTAAACAGGATTTGGTGAAACCAGGTTCAATTAATTGGTTCAATTAAACCGGATTTGTTGAAACTGGGTTCGATTAAACCAGGTTCAGTTAAACCGGATTCAGTGAAACTGGGTTCCAATAAACCGGGTTCAATTAAGCTGGGTTCATTTAAACCGGATTTGGTGAAACCAGGTCCAATTAAACCCGGTTCAATTAAACTGGATTCATTGAAACAGGGATCAATTAAACTGGGTTCAATTAAACCAGATTCATTGAAACTGGGATCAATTAAACCAGGTTCATTGAAACCGGGATCAATTAAACCGGGTCCAATTAAACCGGATTCGTTGAAACCGGGATCAATTAAACTGGGTCCGATTAAACCGGATTCATTGAAACCGGGATCAATTAAACCGGGTCCAATTAAACCGGATTCATTGAAACCGGGATCAATTAAACTGGGTCCGATTAAACCGGATTCAGTGAAACCACGTTCAATTCGTTGGGTTCAAAGAATCCGGATTCAATTAATCGGGATTCAGTTAATCCGGGTTCAATTCACCGCCACCATCCCGGTGCCGTGCCAGCCTCTGGGGACGGTGGCGCCGTGCCGTGCCGCACCACCACAGTGGTTTCGGCACAGCCCCGATCGGTGCAACCCCATCTCATGGGGGTTTTTGGGGTGGTTTTTTTTTTTTCCCTTCTTCCATCCCGACAACGTTTCCCAGCTCCCGGCACACCGACATCCCCATGGATCTCCTTGCCGGTATCAGCGTCGCCTGTGCCGGGCTCCTGGCGGTGTTGGCGGCGGCGCTGCTAGCGGCGGCGTATCGTTTGGGGCTCCTCTACCAGCTCTGGCATAAGGTAGGACCAAACGGGTGAAAACACGGTGGTTTTGCTGAAAAAAAAAACGCCGATTTTTTGAAGCCGGCAGTTCAGCGAAGGGATGGTGACACCACGCACAACCTCCCGGTGAACTCCTCGCCGTGCAGGTGGACCCCCAAAGCCCCCGGCACGGCGGTGAGTTGGTGGCAGAGGTGTTGAAGGCACACGGCGTCCGCTTTCTCTTCGCACTGGCTGGTGGCCACATCTCACCCATCTTGGTGGCCAGCGAGAAGCTGGGAATGATATGGAAGGGGACCTCATGGCCAGAACCTTCTCCTGCCCCGATGGACGGAGGGTTTTGGGGTGTCCCAACTTGGTGGGTCTTGGTTGACCTGAGAAGGGTTCAAAGAGGTTGTGGGTGTCCAGGGTTCTTCCATGGTGGGTTTTGTCCCCTATTTATCCGCCTGAGAAGATAATTTAGCAGCTCTGGTGAGGACATGATGAGGAGGTGACCCCATGGCCAGCACCTTCTCCTGCCCCGATGGATGAAGGGTTTTGGGATGTCCCAACTTGGGGTCTTGGTTGAATGGAGGAAGGTCCAAAGACTTTGTGGGTGTCCACGGTTCTCCTGTGGTGGGTTTTGACCTCCTTCAGGAGATAATTTAGCAGCTGTGGTGAGGACATGATGAGGAGGTGACCCCATGGCCAGCACCTTCTCCTGCCCCGATGGACAGAGGGTTTTGGGGTGTCCCAACTTGGTGGCGTCTTGGTTGACTTGAGAAGGGTTCAAAGAGGTTGTGGGTTCTTCCAAGGTTCTTCCATGGTGGGTTTTGTCCCCATTTCTCCCCCCCCGGGACTAATTCAGCCACTTGGGCGCCAACGAGATGAGCAACCAACCGTGCCCCGAACCTCCAGCTGAAAATCGGGGTGCAGAGGGGATCCCCTTTCCACCACCCCCCACCTACACCCCACCCCGTTTCCCCGCAGGTCGCATCGGTGTGGCCGCCCGCACCGGCGGGCCCGGTGTCACCAACACGGTGACGGCCGTCAAGAACGCCCAAATGGCCGAGTCACCGGTGCTGCTCATCGGAGGAGCGGCCGCGACGCTGCAGAAGGTGGGGACACCAGAAAATCTCCTCCCAGCCCCATTTTTGGGTTGTTTCCTCCCATTTTTGGGTTGTTTCCTCCCATTTTTGGGTTGTTTCCTCCCATTTTTGGGTTGTTTCCTCCCATTTTTGGGTTGTTTCCTCCCATTTTTGGGTTGTTTCCTCCCATTTTTTGGGGGGGTCTCCCATTTTTGGGAGGTTTTCTCCCATTTTTTGGGGGAGGTCTCCAATTTTGAGGTTGTTTTCTCCCTTTTTTGGGGGGTTTCCATCTGTATTTGCGTTGTTTTCCTCCCATTTTTGGGGCGGTTTCCTCCCATTTTTGGGGCGGTTTCCTCCCATTTTTGGGGCGGTTTCCTCCCATTTTTTTTGGGGGGGTGTCTCCGATTTTGAGGTGGTTTTCTCCCTTTTTTGGGGGTTTCCGTCTATATTTGGGTTG